TTTTGTGGTTCCCGAGTTGAAAGTTGCGGACAAGTTGCTGCGGACACACACACACACACACATACAAGCAACCTCGTGACAATATGCGTCTTGTGCTACTACTACAGAGCACAAAACGCATAGAAATGGTTCTTGACGAAACTAACCGGCACTTCATCTGCCCATATCATACACATAAAGTAGTGGTGCAGTGTGTTTATAATTATGTGATAACAATGCAGCGATGATTTGTTTTCCTTTAATATACGATCGTAGAGTATTTTGAATTCGCCGGGTAGTTCCTGCTCATCGCATACTAAAGCATACTGATTAAATCTCAAAACCTGACATATGAAAAAGCACAGCGTCGATATATGAGTTATATCATGTCAAATATTCCTCTCTAAAGTTATGAAAAAAAAAAAAAAGGTGACACTAAGAATGCGACAGATTCGGATTACCAGCAAACTGACCGACAATCCGGTGGAGCTTTGGTTAGAGCAGTCACGGAAAGGTTACTTCAGGAAACTGAGCTGTGATAAAACAACGGTAACTGGTAAAAATAAGCCAGCTGCTCCATACAGTGATAATGTAAAAATAAACGGCAACGCGCACCAGACTAGCCGGTGCGATCATGCGTTTTGTGCAATTCAGCCGATCGAACAATTGCCTGTTAATGATTTTCACTGCTTTGTACTTTAGTCTATGCAAAAATAGTTCAAAATCGAAAACAGTTAAAAATTTCACGCACCAGCGTATGAAAGCTGAATTCGAAACCTTGAAGGATGAATAGACAACAGTTAAAAATTTCACGCACCAGCGTATGAAAGCTGAATTCGAAACCTTGAAGGATGAATATCTTAGTTAAAAATTTCACGCACCAGCGTATGAAAGCTGAATTCGAAACCTTGAAGGATGAATATCTTTCCTTGATTCCCGAGTTAATATTTTATCAGCCAAAATTTTGACGAGGCCGTAGATGGTAACCGAGAGCGCGAGAACGCTAATATTTGAATGGGCAAGGTTGAGCGTGGGCAGAGGGTCATTACCCTAAAACTTCAGCCTCTTAGACTCCGTGGTTCCCGAGATATTAACTTACCCGTGAATAACTTTCACGGGGCCGTACGTGAAACTTCAGCCTCCTAGACTCCGAGGTTCCCGAGATATTAACTTACCCGTAAAAAACTTTCACAGG